GCTGCCTGTCCCTTCCCAGTCCTGCCCTGGCCTTGAGCTCTGCAGCAACACAACACTTCACTGGTGGTGACAGACTGTCCAGTGAGCTGGTCTGGATGTCCAGTGCCTGGGTGCCTCATGAGCTGCCACTGTCCTTTCTGAACAAGCCAGAACCTCCTGCCACCACCCCTTCCTCATCGATGCTGGATCCCACTCTGTGAATGAGCAGAACGTCTGCGATCTGAGGAGTACGGTCTGAGAAAGCCCCAGAGCTGGAGTCACACACAGTGGAGAAAATGGAAAATCCATGGCCACAAGGACTTCATGTCCCAGCTCGCTCAGTTCCTCTGTGCGACTCTGCTCAGAGGCCCCAGCTGTGCCGAGAACCAGGATAAAGAACAAGGAGCCATCAAGACTGCAAAGGCAGAGGGAAACAGAATTTCTTTGAAGGCCATACAATTGCAAGTGTAGAAAGTCCTATGGGCCTTACTAAAGAAAAAGATATGAGAACTAATGAGTGAATTTAGCAAGATATAATGTTGATTTACCAAAACCAATGCAAGCAACAAGAAAATGAAATAGAAAATGGACCACTTACAATACGAATATGAAAAATTTGTGAATAAGCCAGGCGCCGGTGCTCACACCTGTAATCCTAGCTACTCAGGAGGCAGAGATCAGGCAGATCAAGGTTCAAAGCCAGCTCTGGGCAAATAGTCCACAAGACCCTATCTCAAAAAAAACAAATACAAAAACAGGGCTGGTGGAGTGGCTCAAGTGGTAGAGTGCCTGCCTTGCAAGTGTGAGGTCCTGAGTTCAAACTCCACTGCTGCCAAAAAGAGAAATTTTTATAAAACTGGATAAATTGATACCAAGGCCATTAAACAAGGAGAGAAAAGTCTTGTTGACAAAGGAAAATGTTGACTTTCCACATGGGAGAAATGGACATTCATCCTGTCTTCACATGACTCATGGAAGATAAAAATACAAAAACTCAAAATAAATCAGACACCTGAACAGAATGGTGCAATGATAAATCTTTTGGAAGAAAAAAATCTTTAAGCTTTCAGGTAGCCAGAGATTTCTCAAAAAGAGTAAAGCATAACAGAGAAATAGTGGCAAATTCGGGTTTGGTCTTACTTGGTTTGGTTCTGTGGCACTGGGAATTAAACCTAGGACTTCGTGCTCGGCAGCTCTTCCACTTCCCAACCCTTTTGGTTTTATTTTCTTCTTGAGATAGGATCTCACTAGCATTGCCTGGGCTGGTCTAGAACCTATGCCCCTCCTGTCTCTGCTTCCTGAGTAGCTGGGATTATAGGTGTGTACCACCACACCTGGTAATGAATTTGATTTTTTCCAATTTTTGTTCTCTGAACAGCACACTTAAGAACTGAGAACATGGAAAGCAAGTCACAGGATGGAAGAAAATATTTGCAATATGTGCATGAATCTCACAAAAGGTTTTTCTCCAGAATATATTTTTAAATCTTACAAATCAATAACGGGGGTGGGAGGGAGAGCGGGAAATGTAAAATAGACAAATGATTTAAATAGGAACTTCAGATACAAAGATATAGGAGTGACCAATAAGCATACAAAAAGATATTTAATATCATTCTCCATCAGAGAAATCAAAACCACAAAATTTCACTAGGCACCTATCAGGATGACTAAAATTAAAACTAACCATGATACCAAATGCCAGCCAGGATATGGTGGAATTGAAACTCCTGCACATCCTGTGGGGTGTCAAGTGGCACAATCCATGGAGCACTGGAATTGTCATCTGGTCATTCTGCTCATAGGTATCTGTCCAGGAGAAATGAAGCATGTGTTCACAGAGCCAAGTGTTCAGGGAAGTTTCATCCATAATAAAAATGAAAGCAACCTGGTTTCCAGTCCAGAGGCAAATGAAGACGTGTAACATGGGTGCTCATACAGTGGAATACTGCTCAATCATAAAAAATAGTAAGCTGGACGCCCCAGCGCAGTCTAATCTCAAGATGACTGTGCTCAGGGAAACAGTCCAGGAACCAAAGAACGCATACTGTATGGGAACTTTTACACAAAACTATACAGAATGCAAAGAAATCCACAACGACAGAGAGCAAATCAGCGGAGCCAGGTACAGACTGAGTGACACGCTGCAGAGAGGCGTGAGTTAACTGTTCATGCTGGTGTTTGTGACCTACGTCCTGTGCAGCATGCGCGGCACAGATCTGAAAGCTTGCCAGAGCTCAGCGAGCTGCATGTGTTGCCACGTGCAGTGTCGTATGTGTGGACTGTACTTCAAAACTGATGATAGATAGATAGATAGATAGACAACAGATAGATAGATAGATAGATGATGGATGGATGGATGGATAGATAGACAGATAGATAGATGATAGATAGACAGATGGATGTTAAGACATTAAGGATATAACAAGAAGATGAAAATGAGGACCAGAATTACAGAAATTAAAAGATGCAGTGACAACTAGGGAAGTTTAAATGAACACTGACTACAGCTGCAATAATGATGTCTTGCGAGTTAAAGATAGGAGATAGATAAAAACATTTGAACATAAAAATTAAGCACGCTGGAGAGGGGTGAATGGAGGTACCGAGTTCTGTGCTCCTGCACTGTTCACTGACCTTTGGAAAGAACGTATTTCCATACAAGGTCCGTTTGCAAGCTCCAGCCATCAGGGCCTAGTGTCTCTGGTGTCACCAATCCTCCTACTATATAAGCCACCCAAAGATTCTCATCTATCCCACAAGAAAAATACTTTCACCCCATTGCAGAGCACCCCAAAAAGTCTCAATCCATAATAGCAGCCCCAAGTCCTAAGTCTCAATTTAAACAGAATCAACTCAGGCTGAGCATTGGTGGCTCACACCTGCAATCCTAGCTATTTGGGAGGCTAAGATCAGGAGGATCACAGTTCAAAGCCAGCCCAGGAAAATAGTTGAAGAGACCCCCATCTCCAAAATAACCAGGGCAAAATGGACTGGAGGTGTGGCTCAATCAGTAGAGTGCCTGCTTTGCAAGTGTGAAGCCCTGAGTTCAAACTCTAGTCCTGTCCTCCCCCGCCAAAGAAAAATCACCTCAAACATCCCACGTTTCATCTCTAAGTGAGGTGTGGATGGGACTCTGAGTGGGACCAATCACAGGAAAAATGCCTCTGCATCACTTGGACTTGTGGAACTACAGGCAGGTTATCTGCTTCCAAATACAGTGTTGAGGCAAGTACAAGATAAATGCCACAGAAACTCCCGTCCCAAAAACAGGACAAGGAGAGGAAGAAAGGTTGTACTGGTCCCAGTGAATTCTGGAATCCGGCAGAGAAATTCACAGGTTACGCCTGGGGATGCTCCCAGCGACTGGAGGCGCTGGCCTCTGATCCCGTGGCCCTGCCTTCCACGCCCTTGGCTCATTGCTCACCTCGGCTCTGCCCATGGAGCCATTCTTCCTTTTCTTGAAGGATTGCATTCACTTGCATCTGATTCATTTTATCAGCCTGCTTACATACAGCCTGTAGCATTGTGGGGGAAGAGCAGGGGCTGATAGCTTTTCTTTATTTCATCCTGTCTCTGCCCCTTTCATTCTGAGTTGGCAATGATTCTACTGATCCAACATTCTGAAAAACTTTGTGGGTCTCCCAGATATGTCACAGGGATCCATGCCATCTATTAGAGCAGATCTCCCCCGGATAATCCCATCCATACCCCTGGCTTCTGGTGATGAGGTTAAATAGATTTCAAACAACTTGCCTAACAGCAGCAGAAAATGGTTGTCCCAACACAGCTTAATCTTCTAACCAGACCGTGCTTCTAATAGTTAACTGTTGTAATTTTGACATCTTTGCAATCTGGATAAGTGTAGACTACCTAAATAATGAAGAGCTGGGTCCTTTTCGCATTGCAGTTCTTCCTTAATTTTATTCACTTTTCTCTACATTTTGCTACAAGGAGCAAGAAAACACCAAGCTACACCTTCAACACTTTGCTTAGAAATCTCCCCTGGCAAGTATACAACACAACAATGGAACACAATTCAGCTAAATTTTCAGTGAGTATGTATCAAGGATTGCTTTTCCTCCTGATTCCTATTCCTCCTGTTCCTCATTTCCTCCTGATGCTTCACCTAGAAGCACTTTCAATGTCCACTTTTCCAACAAAAGTTTATTGGTGACAACGTAGGTTTTCTATATCATGCACCTCAAAATTCTTCCAACCTCAACCCATAACCATTTCAAAGCCACTTCCACTTCATTTCCACATATTAAAATCTGTATATATATTTTTTTGCAACTTGTAACAACTTGCCACATGCATGATGTCTCAGAAATACATTGTCTCACTGTTCTGGAGGCGAGAAGTTCCACTGCAGTGTCACTACACTGACTGGACTTTGCCACACTCCCTCCTGCAAGGGAGAGTCCATGCCTCACCTCCCCCACTTTAGGGCCCACCCAGATTATCCAAAATAATCCCTCCAGCTAAAGTTCCTTAACTTCATCAATATGCCACAAAGAATCTTTTTACCCAGTGCAGTACATCCGTGGGTTCCATGGACTAGGACATCATACCATTGAGGACCATCAATCATACTAGTATACGTGAACCCCAAAACAGGGATCAAGTGTACCAGGAGTAAACATCTGAGCAGAACAGATGTAAAGGAGCCAGGTCATGATGTTGACACCCATAGCCACATGCAGTCAGCACAAAGGCAGGTGACCTTTGCCCATGAGGAAGCACAGACCAAAGTCTGCATGGACAAGGAAGAGGTCAAATTTAGAAACCTGAGAAACTTCATCAATGAATGCAGTCAACAAAAAACCAGGAAAAAGGACGTAACAAACACAAACACGACCTTGAGGACAAAGCCTGAATATAACAGGAAGCACCCATGTGACCAGCCTCACACCTGACCCAGGCAGGGATATAAAGGGCCGGGCTCGGGAGGCTCACACTGCACTCCTCCCTCTCTCTCCACCTGCTCCTCTGACCCACTCCATCCTCCAAACAGAACCATGAGCTGCTGTGACTGCTCCGGAGGCTGTGGCTCCTGTGGGGGCTGTGGCTCCAGTGGCTGTGTGCCCGTGTGCTGCTGTGTGCCAGCCTGTGCCTGCCCCAGCTGTGGCTCCTGTGGGGGCTCCAAGGGAGGCTGTGGCTCCTGTGGAGGCTGTGGTTCCTGTGGAGGCTCCAAGGGAGGCTGTGGCTCCTGTGGGGGCTCCAAGGGAGGCTGTGGTTCCTGTGGAGGCTGTGGTTCCTGTGGAGGCTCCAAGGGAGGCTGTGGCTCCTGTGGGGGCTCCAAGGGAGGCTGTGGTTCCTGTGGAGGCTCCAAGGGAGGCTGTGGCTCCTGTGGAGGCTGTGGTTCCTGTGGAGGCTCCAAGGGAGGCTGTGGCTCCTGTGGGGGATCCAAGGGGGCTGTGGTTCCTGTGGAGGCTCCAAGGGAGGCTGTGGCTCCTGTGGGGGCTCCAAGGGGGCTGTGGTTCCAGGCTGGGAGGCTGTGGCTCCTGCTCCAAGTGTGCCAGTGGCTGTGTGCCGTGTGCTGCTGTGTGCCTGTCCCAGCTGTGGCTCCTGCGGGGGCTGTGGCTCCTGTGGGGGATCCAAGGGAGGCTGTGGCTCCTGTGGAGGCTGTGGTTCCTGTGGAGGCTCCAAGGGAGGCTGTGGCTCCTGTGGGGGATCCAAGGGGGGCTGTGGTTCCTGTGGAGGCTCCAAGGGAGGCTGTGGCTCCTGTGGGGGCTCCAAGGGGGGCTGTGGTTCCAGTGGCTGTGTGCCCGTGTGCTGTTGTGTGCCAGCCTGTCCCTGTCCCAGCTGTGGCTCCTGTGGGGGCTGTGGCTCCTGTGGGGGATCCAAGGGGAGCTGTGGCTGCTCCCAGTCCAGCTGCTGTGTCCCTGTGTGCTGTCAGTCCAGCTGTTGCAAGCCCTGCTGCTCCCAGTCCAGCTGCTGTGTCCCTGTGTGCTGCCAGACCAGTTGTTGCAAGCCCTGCTGCTCCCAGTCCAGCTGTTGTAAACCCAGCTGCTGCAAGCCCTGCTGTTCCCAGACTGGCTGCTGTGTCCCAGTGTGCTGCCAGACCAGCTGTTGCAAGCCCTGCTGCTCCCAGTCCAGCTGCTGTGTCCCTGTGTGCTGCCAGTGCAAGATCTGACACAGTCAACAGTGCAGCTAAGCTCTCCCAGCTGCTCTGGGAGGTTCCTGGTCTCATCCCTGTTCTCATCAGTCTGCTAGACCATTTCCAATCCTGCAGACCTCTTTTCTGCTTTTCTCTATGTCCAGCCGGTGTAACAGCACTCGTGTGATTGGTTACGGTTTTCTCCCTTGGCCCTCAGGAGGATATATTCCAACCCACAGACGTCTATGCGGCAAGTATCTGTTCTGCCTCTGAAAGGGGCAGATGTGCAGACCCACAGCAGGTCTGCAATGCCTGGAGAAGAATACCCACATCCCACTTCTGAGCAAAAGGAAGCACCACCCTGCCCTGCCCCGCCCCATGCTTGCCACCTCCTCCTTCCCCCACTCAGTCCACAGGGGCCTCTCTTTCCTGTGGGGTTCTGTACTTGTCTGTTAGAATGCAGTATTTCCTTTCAATAAAAACATCTTCTAGTCTTGCAAAACACTCTCACAGCATAATTCTTTCGTTGCCATCCTGTCTCCGTGTACTGATGAACAACCAAGTTCATTGTCAGTGGGTCCCTGGGAGACCCAAGCCGGTCTGCTGGGTCCAGACACCCAACTGTTCCACAGCTGGTGGCTGCTGATGTTTTGGCAAAGGGACATTGGGAGTCCTGGAAAGGCAGGTACAGACCTTGGACTCAGGGTCAGGACTTGGGTGGAGTTTGAGTCCTATAACTGTCCTGTCTGTGCAGTGGGCTGGATGTTGGGGCCCAGCACCCCTCTACCCTGATCCTCATTTTCAGAGGCTGTGATGCGTCCCTGACACTCATGCAACAGGTTCCAGAGGCATGTGGGCTCGGTCATTCCACACTGAGCTCCTCTGAAGTGTGGAAAGGCCAGGAAGGACTAAAACAAGCACCCACCATCCTGGAGTGGAAGTGAAACATTCCATTGCCACTAAATTAGCAGCTGCCCTGAAATTTTTACCTTTTCTTGAATCCACCTGATGACATTAAAATACATATTTTCTTGGAATTTGGGCAATTTCCTTAGTGTGGTCCCAGGCATCAGCTATTGGAGTCAAAAGCTAATAATGCTTTAGGATCTTTGGAAGGTCTTTGCAAGTCTTTTTCAAAAGATTCCTTTAAACCCCAAGGATGCTGGTTGTACCTCAGTACAATCCTTCACAGCTCAGCTCTGCCGCTGAGCGCCCATACCTTCTCCTAGGGGTCTTTTGTGCCTCAGACCACCCTGCCAACTTGGGGCCCACTTGTTCTGGGCCCCAAGAACCCAAAGCCAGACCAGGGAGGCAGCTTCTCCGAAGAGCCTGTGGCAGTGGCCAGAGCCTGGGGGGGGTTGAGACAGGAACTTCTCTGTGTCTGATCCTGGATGTGCTAGTCAGCTTTCCATATATGTGACAAAATACTTGAGATAATCAGCTTAAAAGAAGAAAGGTACATTTGCTTTTAGAGTATCAGTTGCTTTTAGAGTCTGTGACCAGGCCGGAGTATGTGACAGAGCAAAGCTGCTCATCTCCTGGCCAAAAAGCAAGAGAGTGAGGAAGAGACCAGGATCCCATGTCTTCTTCAAGAGCACACTCCTAGTGACCTAACGACCACTCACTAAGCCCCACCTCTCAAAGGTTCTACCACCTCCCAATAGCATCACCCTGGTCTAAGCCTTCGCCACAGGCGACACTCATCAAACCACAGACCAGAGGACAAGGAAAGTGTGATCCTTGCCCTATTGGGGCTTCTGGTCCACATGGGGAAAAAATAGTGCTACACAATGTAAAACAAACAGGAAGTCATTATGGACAGAGACAATTCCACGAGAGGAAACACAGGTAGCAGGAAAACAGTGTGACCATCTCCAGAGGGTGGAGAGAGAAGAGTCTTTCAAAGGGGAAGAAGGAACCCAGGCCAGTAGTGGTGAGGGGGGTCTTCCAGGCGGGAAGAGGCCATGCAAGGGCCAGGTAGGAAGGAAGCCAGAGGCAGAGAGAACCTGGTGTCAAAGGTATACCTAAGATGCTGAAACCAACCTAAAGTTTGTGGGGACTTTGAACTAATCAGGCTGGTGGGGTGTTGATGTGATGAGGTGGAGAGCTGGTCAGAGGGGCTGTAGCAGGGGCTGAGTGAGTCAGGGGAAGACATGGCTGGGTTCTGCCTGGGGAGAGGGCTGGTGGTGGCCTGTCACCGCCCTGCAGGGCCAGGTCTGTCTTGCTTGGCTTCATCAGTGGCAACTGCAGGAACGACTTGATTACAATGCTGCCATTTAGTCGTTTTCCTAGCTTTCCTGAGGAGGGACAGATAGAATGTTGAGGCCATAGAAGGCAGTTGGTGGAGGGACCTCATGATTACAGGTCAGCTCCTGCCAGGACAGGAGGAAGGGCAGGGCAGTCAGGCCAAGATGCTGAGCTAGGTCTGGGTAAAGGTGGGGACATGGTAAGCACTGGAATACTGACCCTGCCGACTCCAGGAGCAGGTCTCCCTGGACCTGGGCCAGTCTCACTGCCAGAGGAGGGTCCCATGCTCTCCTGTTCCTGAGTTCTGCAGAGTGGCTGAGCTGCAGGGAGGACATGAGGCCAGAACAGCCCTGGGACGGCATGTCTGGGGCCCTCTCCCCACGCCCCAGTCCTCTACCTCACTCATCAAGGCCCTCTGGAATGACAGGCTGAGGGACTCCTACCCCCTCCTCCTCCAGAGGCGCCCAGCCAGGAAGTAGATGGCCGGGTGAGCCACACTGACCACGCTGAACAGGAGCCACAGGAGGTCAAGGGTCAGGCTTAGATGTTCCTCTTCTGGCAGGTAAGACAATAGCAAGGGGCAGGCCCCAAAGCAGGAAGGTGACAGCCACTATGTAGGCATCCCGGTAGGTCCTGGTGAGCGAACACCGCTGGGGGTGGCACAGGCCACAGACAGCCAGGGTCAGGCTGGACACACACACCACAGAGCAAATGAATAGCCGAAATACCGTAAATCCTGTGTGAAATAGTCTGCATGCTGGGCCCTGCTCCCAGTAGTCACAGGCCTCGGTCCCCACCTGCAGAGAGAAGGCCAGGGCCCAGCTCGGTGCGCTGACCACCACAGAGGTGTGGTTGGGGCCGTGGTGGCAGTACCAGGTGAGAAACAGAATACCCAGGGTGCTCTCCACACTCATGGCCACCAGGACACAGAGACCCACCGTGTCAGAGAAAGCGGAGACAGGCTCCCGGACCTTGGCAATGGGTGATGTCATCTCTTCGTGTCCCCTGAGGATGTCCTCCAGCAGGATTCCAGCGATGCAGATGAGGCCAACATCAGCAGAGGCCAGGCTGAGGACACAGGCAGTGTAGGGACCAGTCCTCACACAAAAGCGGAGAAGCCAACAAACGGCGAAGTTGCCCACCACCGCACTGAGGGTCACCGATGCCATGAGTGGGGGGACCACCTGCTCGTACTGTGACCATCCGCGCCCTTGATCAGCCACCTCTGTGTGTCTCGGGGGTCTCCATCTTATTGTCCCAATTCAGGTGCCAGGGAGGGTGGGGAGGACGTAGGCCATGTGGTGGCCTCTGCTGTCTGGGTATACCTGTGAAGACAAAGCCCCATGACTTACCTGGCCTGCTGCCCTCTGTCCTCACAACTCCCTGCCCAGCTCCCAAGACCTGCGGGGGTCCTACATGGTAGAGTCCAGTAGAGGAGTCAGCATTCGTCCAGAGACTTGTTCCTGCCTTCTAGACCTTCAGCTAGGTGTACCCCAACATGTCCCTCCAGACACTCAGCTGTCCTTGACGCTTTGCAGGATGTCGGTCCCTGCACCCAGGCCTTCCCCAGGCTTCCTGAAAAGATGCATGTATTTACCTCTGTCCACTTGGGTGGCTCCACCCCTCCGTCCTCACAGACATCACGATGTGGGTGGGGTGGGAGCACCGAGGCCACCCTTTGGCCCTGAGATTCTGACGCTGTGATTTCCAGATGGGGCAGTTGATTTCCAATGCCCCACAGAGGAGCTGCCAACCTTTCTGCTCCTCCTGCCCTCTGCTCTGTCAGCACCAGGGTCTCCTCACAGGACATGTGCATGTGCAATATCACTGCCTGGAGTGGCCTCAGCATCCACGGGCTCAGTCTCCCCCTTCCTGTCTGCCCAGGGAGCCTCAGCTGGCCATCCTGTTAAACGTGCTCTCGTCTAGCACAGGTGGTCTCTATAAGGTTGCTTGCTTCTGGGGGAATTCCCCACTGGGGATATTACCCCACAAACCTGTTTATTTTTGATAATTGTTCACTGTCTTTTCTATAGCCTTAGAACAGCAGTGGACATAGAGGAGCTATTTGGGGAGCAGTTATGTCACTCAGTGACCCCAAAAGAGCTTCAGGGACCCCTATACACCCAAAGAGGGTCCAGGCACCCTGGGAGATACACACCTGAACCCCTGGTAATGTGACAATGTCACGAGCACCTAGCTCAACATTGCCAATCCATCCAGTGTAGGATCGTGCAGGAAGGGGGACCAACCTATCCCGGTTTGCCTGGGAATTTCCCAGTTTCAGCCATGGACATCCCATGTCACAGTTGTTGTTGTTTTTAGGTTCTGGGGTTTGAACTTGGGGCCTCATGCTTGCTAGGCAGGTGCTCTACCATTTGAGCCACTCCACCAGTGAACATCTCACATCCTGGGAATCCCCATAGTTCTGGGAAAATCAGGGTGACTGGTCTGATGGCTGGGTCAACCTCACAGGGGCAAATCCCGGTCCACTTCGGTGAGTAGCCAGCCCTTGTCTGCCACAGATGGAACCCATCTGTCTAAAGGTGGTGGTTATGGACTGAATTGTGCTAAAGCCCTCATTTCAAGCACCTCAGAATGTGAGCATATGTGAATTTCTCTAAAGAGGTGATTAAATCAAAATGAGGTCACCAGGGCAGCTCTGATCCAATGTGACTGTGTCTTCACAGGAAGAGGAGATGAGGACACGGACACAGGAGGCCCATGTGAGGACACAGGGAGAAGACTCCATCTGCAAACCACAGGGATTGCCCTCAGGAGGAGGCCGCCTT